GTGTGTGTGTGTGTGTGTGTGTGTTAATTACAGACTCTGGATTAGTGAATGTGATCCTCTGTGTGATCCTGGATTCATTCAGCTCCTGCTGCAGACTTCAGATTCAGGGACAGGACGTCACATGTCACACACGATAGACTTTATGATGCCGAGTTTCTTTCTGATGTGACTTTCATGTTGTCCTCCGGCTTCTTGTCTCTCTTGTCCCTCAGCTGAATGTCCCCTCTGTCGTCTCCGTGTGTCTCTGTCTTCATTCTTCTTTCATTCTATCTGGAGTCGATCTGAGCTTCAGTCCAAACACTGTGTTTCGTTTCAGCCTGTAACTGTCACCGTCATTCGTTCGACTGTTTCTACGACCCTGAGGTCGATCAGAGGAGAGCCAGCGTGGACGTCCACGGACACCACAGAGGAGGCGGAGTCTGCCTCAACTGTCAGGTGACTAAACTCCCCCGAACCCGAACCCCAGTTGTTTTCATTTCTCTAACGTTGATTCTCAACTTGTGACGTGACTGAAGAGTAAAACATTTGAATTGTTTGCGCTCAGCATCACACCACCGGGGTCAACTGTGAGCGCTGCATCCCCACCTACTACAGGTCACCTGACCACACCATCGACTCCCCACTGGCCTGTTCACGTGAGTCACAGTCAGATCATCACAGTCAGATCATCACAGTCAGATCATCACCATGAACCTTCATCCTGGACGTGGACATGTCGTTGACGGTGTCTCGTCCTCTTTGCCTCCTGCAGCCTGCGACTGTCGCTCAGACTTCACAGACGGAACCTGCGAGGATCTGACCGGTCGCTGCTTCTGCAAACCAAACTACAGCGGAGAGAACTGTGCCTCCTGCGCCAGCGGCTTCATCAACTTTCCAGACTGTTACCGTGAGTTACCGTGACGGAACCAGGACGTTTCAAAACCTTGAATTATGTCCTGGCTGCTAATGTCCCTCTGTCTCTCCACCAGCCGTCCCCACGTATCCCACCAACAACAACAACAACGGTGAAGCCAAACCAGCCGGAGAGATCATCAGTAAGACTGTGTTCATTCTACTTCTACTTCATCTTCTTCTTCCTCCTCATCTTCATCTTCTTCTACTTCTGTGTCTTTTTCTTCTTCTTCTGGACCGTGTGTTTTTATAAAATCTGATAAATTCATCCTCAGCTCTTTCTCTCTCAGTCTTTTTCTCTTTCCCTCGATCAAATGTTAAAGAACATGTGAAGAACATGCCTGGTGAATCAACCCTTCATGTTGTTGTCGTGTGCAGACTGTGAGTGCAGCGCCGCCGGCACCGTGGATAACTCCTGCAGGCCCGACCCCCGAACTCGAACCTGCGTCTGTAAACACGGGTTCACCGGTGACCACTGTGACACGTGCGCTCTGGGTTTCCACGGACTCAACTGTCAGGGTGAGAGACGGACACTAATCGATTCTCTAGATTCTCTGGAGACGTTTGACTCTGGACGATGAAGAACATGTGACTGTGAAGTTTTAATCACATTAGATGAGTTTTTATATAATTAAATTAAATTAAATTCTGCAAAGAGTCCGAAACTTTTCACAGGGACACGTTTGTTCAAATCACCAAACTGTGAGTTTGCAGCTGTTTTAGTGTCTGAGTGTGACAAGTTGTTAAACTGACTCACACACACACACACACACACACTCACACACACACACACACACACACACACACACACACACACACACACACACACACACACACACACACACACACACACACACACACACACACACTCAAAATA